TTCGTATACTGGCAAAATAGCTGTTGGATAACAAGTACTTCCTACCTTTTCTAATATTGCCAACATGACACCAACACAGTCAGATATACTTTACAGTTTTGCTTGACCCTTCTTGGGGACTTTCAGAAATCTTACAACACTGCTTCGGTTATATTTCACCGTTACCAATTCAATGTCAAATGTTAAGAGCATATATTCTCTTCCATAAGCTCTCCCCCTCGGAAATCGGAATGCAAAACAAATATACTGTTAGAAATGGTGAGTATTCATGACACGGAAGTCACGGCAGCTGTAAGATCCTTTGGGTTGCAGGGGAAAGTCTTCATCGATTCGACAGCAACACGCGCCCTGTGCTTCACCTGCAATGGGTGGGAGCAAAATGACGTGACGTTTATTTTTTTCTCTCTCTCTCTTTTCTTTTTTTTTTTTTTTTTCTTTTTTTTTACCAAATATTTGTATGAGGAATTGTTAACAGACATGAATACGGAAGTATGTTTCAGATGTTTCGTAGAGAGCCGTATTCAGCAAATAAGTTGCGGAGATATTGTTACTCAGCTGAAACAAAGGGAGAGAACAGGAGCGTATCAAGCATTTTGGCTTTGGTGAGGAGTCGATGTTTCTTCCCGACGCCATGTTTACGCTTGCCGGGCGAGGAATGATGTCCTCCTACAAAAAAAACTATATATAATATAAAACAAAGATGTTTTGCAAGCCTCTTGAAGAATAACACCATCCAACAAAGTTTTCATTTTGCCCGAGAAAAAAGAGGAACAAGTAGGTAGATTAACTGAAAGAGAAAGAGGAGGAAAATCTCGCCAGTTGGATGGGCTTTTGATTCAGTTATCTCCCCAAGTGAGCCCGCCGTGCAGTCGCTTCCCGGGCCTTCTTTTGCGTCCTTCCATCAGACGGGAAGATCAGCTTGCTTGAGCTGCCTTCGCAAGTGCACGAGCCATGTCACCTTTCTTCTTTCTGCGTAGTTTCATTTGATTAATTGCTTACCTTAGTGGTACAGAGGTAAGTTCACCTCTCTGACGTTCATAGTACAAAAAAAGTTTCGGGCTTTTAGCAGGCATAGGGGAATTCTCCTCACTGTTCTGGGAAACGTAGCATGAGCGGCATCATGTGTTTGTGTGTGTGTCTTTATGTATGTATGTATACGTATGAACTGTATATATACTTTTTTTTCTTTTACACGGTTAATTTAGTGTCTGAAACTGGCCTTACCCACAAACCCCAGAGTTCCACAGAGATTAATTTAATGCGTATTGTTCTCTACGCTCTTACATTACTTCACATCGCCGTTCGTTTGAATTTCGCCATGAGAAATATGACTACACCATTTTCAAAGTAGATTAATTGCAGTCAGTATTCTTAGCTTTGGGATACTCTTCATTCCCTTTTTTTCACGGTCCCTTGATGTGCAGACCGGATTCCCGGCTTAGCACGCAGTTTCGCAGTCCTCAGCGTTAAGCCTTTGGGTGGTCTCCATCAAGCAGGTTACATGAGCAGCCTAAGTTGGCCTTATCTTTGAACGGAGCTTCTCGCCGCAAAGGATTATAGACCCAGCAATTCTCTCACCTTTAAAAGGGACGCTTAAGGTTTTGTTTGCTCGTTCATCTTCTTATTAGTATTGATTTATGTTATGTTTTCATTATTTTATTGTATTTTGCATTTATGTTGCTTTAATTTCTTAATATCACATGACAAGTGAATTATTTTCGATTCCATAGCATGCAGACGCCCTTCCGCGTACGGGCTATGAAATAAAAATGGACGCCGTGTTCAGTGCAGTTCAGCGACTGTGCATCGTTTATTTGTAACCTCAGGCACCGCACACGGGGTCGTATGGAGGGAATAAGGGCTGGAATATTCCTGGATTATTTAGTCAACCGAGCACACACGTTATGTAGGATTGGAGAATATACTTCATCTCAAACACACACACACACACACACACACACGCACACACACACACACACACACACACACACACACACACACACACACACACACACACACACACACACACACACACACACACACACACAAAATCCACTTCCATACCATTTCTTTTGTTTTCGCAGGACGGACCAATATCGTCAATATAATTTTCTTTGTTATTTTTACTTTTTATTATTGCTGTTACTGCCATCATGCTTATCCTAATCCTCATCCTTATTCTTACTACTATTCTCATGATTAATGCCATTATTGTTTTTGACTATTATCATTGTTGGTTTAGCATTGTTGTTAGAATTTCTTGTGCTGGTGTAACTAGTGTTATAGTATTGCTGCCAACATCATCTTTATGTTATTGTGTTTATTATTGTCGATTATTTTATTGTTATTATTATCATTATTTACTATTATCATCATTATTTCATTATCATCTTTGACCGATTTTTTTTTGAGTGTGAGTGTGTGTGTGTGTGTGTGTGTGTGTGTGTGTGTGTGTGTGTGTGTGTGTGTGTGTGTGTGTGTGTGTGTGTGTGTGTGTGTGTGTGTGACCTTTAACCTAATGAACTTTTATATGAATTTGATTATTCTGATCATTTTACCGTTTAGACTCATAAACAGGTCACATTTCGCTTTGCCTTTACAGCATCCAGGGAACATTTTTGACATCTAGTTTCGCCCATCTCACCTTTCGTTTATCATGTCTCATTGGCTTTGCCAATTTTCATGGTTTCATTTGATTATCATTCGCTGATTTTATGCATTCTGATAAATAACAGTTACGCCCCTGACACCATCCCTGAGGCAGAATTCATTCCTGAACGCATTACAAACGGCCAGACAGTCGGTGAATGTAGTCCGTCCGCCTCGTGGCGCCTTATTCGTGCTCATGTCTGCGAAGTGCGCGGCGGAGGCTGCGATCCTGAAGAAAAATAGTCGCGCTGGACATAATCGCAAACCCGATTTTACTGAAAAGCGGCAACAATCTTCACACATAGGAATAAAAGCTCTTACGTTGTGGGAAGACTTTGTCATGTTAAGCTTTAAAGCAAATGGGATTTTAAGAATAGTTCAAACCTTCAGCAGTGGCATTAGACTTGCCGGTTTGGCCTTCAGCCGAGACTCAATGTGGAGGTCTTTTCCTTACTGTTGATTGCGGCAGATGCATAATATGCATTTCAGGTGCCTGTGACGCACATCTATAAAGATGATATTGTTCTTGATTTTTTTTTTTTTTTTTTTTTTTTTTAGTAGTTTGCCAAGCTGGAACAAACTCAAAGGAATATATCCTTCCACGCTACCAGTTTCCGGGGTTCTCTGGGCTCTTTGCGGCCGCTTATGGATATGGTTGGTCATTGTTATTATTATCATTGTTGTTATCATAATCAATACCGCCATTACCGATATTATTGTTATTGCTGTTGTTATTATCATTATCAATATTATCAACCTTCGTAATATAATTAGCATTATCCTCATTTTCGTATTAATGTTATTATTACTAAAATAGTTGTTGCTCCACTGGTATTATTATTATTATCATTATCATTTTGTTGTTGTTCATATTGTTATTATTATATTTTTATTATTATTATTATTATTATTTTCCTTATTATTATTACTACAACTAATATAATTTTTTTTCTTATTATCATCATGAATATTATTACAGTCGTTGTTATTGTTGTTATCGTAATTAATGTTGTTATTGTCATTATTATTTTCATTATCATTTTTATAGTTATTATCGTTATTGTTCTTATTATCATCGCTATAATTATTATCATCCGCATTCACACTTTCAGTGTCATCC